GATCGCTGAAAGGCAATCGGATTTGTTAATTTACCTTAAAAACTGTATGGGAAAACTCTCCAGGGTTCATTTTCAAAAAACCGGCATGATGACTGCAGCCCGGCTATTCTGTTTCTTTTATACGACGTGAAGTTGTTTCTTCAAGCCAGAGAACCTACTGAAGAAAGAAGCTTAAAACTGCATAACCCAATTACTGATAATTGTTGTTGCTACTCACGACGACAGGATAATCTATCGACTGCCAAGCCATAGAACCGACTGTGTTGATATCCATTCTAATAAATTGTGCGAAGGCCTGAATTTTTATATGCAAGGAAAGCGAAAGAACCGCTTGTCAAATATGCGAAAGAATGATTCATGTACTCGTTCCTCATTACGCAGAGGGTATTTTAATAAATCAGTAATCTTTTGTTCATCTCTCAGAAGACAGAAGTACTTGCAAAGTCATATGTCTGAGGATTAAATGACTCTTTAGCATGGAAGATCCAACGTTGTCGTGCCTTGATATCGAGGCTAGCGAAGGTGCATGTTTGGTAGTCAATGAAAGTGGCAAAAATTCTTCCTGAATCACATGCCCCCATGAATAATAGGCTTGAAAATGATTGAATCAACCAATAAAGGACCAAGGGAAAAGGAAAGGAACGAAAGAACAACGAATTAATGAATGACAAAAGGTTTTCCATCATGTTGTTTACGTTAGCAAAGGATGCAGGTGGAAAGAAATGCTTCATCAGAGTTTATTTTAATCAGATGTTGAGATTGATAATGAATCTTCAAATGCCCGGTTAATGACATAGTTGTAATCATGGGTTTATAAACGTTTTTATGTCCTAATAGCAAATCTGTTTTATGGAAACGCACTTTGGGAATAAACCCGGTTATGTAAGGTTATGTTCACTTCGAGAGGGTTATTCCAAAAAGACAACATGAGTAAATCATTTTTTCATGCGGCCCACTCCTTGGACATCACATACAGCCTATGTAGGTTGTTTAACTTTGCCTACTGTTCCACCTGAGTTTCTATCATTGACGCATGCGTTAATGATGAGTAAGGAATATGAATATATTTGGTCGACTTGACGTGCAGCTTGGCTGTTTTTCAAAACTCATCCGCGGTGTAGCCGTTGCGAAGAACGGGCTAGCAGCGAGCTCGGTCAGCAAACAAGGCAATTGCAGCCGATTGCGGTATGCGGCAGAATTCGTTATGCCTTATAAGGCAGTAACGATCAGAGAGAGAGAGAGAGAGACGAAACCCTGGTTGAAGCCTGAAAAACACTGACAGCTACTTATTTTAATAATATCGAAAGAAAACGAGGCAGAAACTGTTTTCATCGTGTTGTCTGCAATCAGAAAGGAGGTTCATTGAAGATGCTTTGGGACATTGACGGAAATGTCCGATGGACGATTCTCTGAATAGAGAAAACAGCATACCTCGCGTGTCATAAATGTTTAGGACCTGAAAACTGGGTGTAGTTTGAGAAATTTGAACATTTATTTTTTTATCGTTAGGAATGGAGGACATTTGCAACGGTAGCATTTGTTTGTTAATATGCTTCGAGGCATAACCGTTAACTTTGCATTTGGTCTGCTTCTTAGCTTTGGTTGATATCTACGATAAATCAAACAACATCCTGAGAAGATATTAGGTGAAAAAATGGTCCGGATTCAGAACAGACAGATAAAGCTTGTAACAGATATGCAGCATAAAACAATTTATGAAAAAGAACAAAAAATGAAAATCCTAATTCCTCGTAGTTTTCTTGAATTAATCAGTGCCGTTGACTCCGTTGGGAGAGAAGCCTTATGGAAAGTTCATTTATTACACGTAATCCTAAAACAAATTATTTGCATAACCAAAAGGATGCAGGAGCCTCCCCGAAGTGAAGTGCGAATTCTTTGGCACAACGTGTAACGTAAAGGCAAGGAGGAGAAGATCTTTGCTTTTGCAAAGCGTCTGAATTGGACGCTGCATCCAGTGTGAAGGAGTAAAGCCAAGGCTGCGGAAACAGTTGACAATTTCTGCATTAACTTCCCGAATTTTTTGATGGTATGGCATTGCTAGCAAAGATTAAATTGCCTCATTGTTTCTAACTCTGAACCAGAAGTATTCCGATATGGTCTTTCGATTGACTCAAAGAAGAAGAATTTGATGGAAATCCGTAGAGCCAGCGACTCCTGTACGACCCTGGATGCCAAATATGTGGAAAAAAGGTACCAGAACAGCTGTGCCTTGACCTCAGATTGACGAGGGACAAACAAGTTAAAAGCGCTGTGTGCTAGCATTAGCTGCGAGCAACAAATTATTCAAGCTGTGAAAGGACGATAATGCTAACAAAGTACAAAGCTGCGGATGTAGAGAGCCTGCACTCTGAACATCTTCTTCTATGGCCTGGAAACAGTAGCATAACAAAGCTGAAAACAGCTGACTGGAGGGAGGCTATGTGAATTGAAATTCGAAGATCAGTGTTAGGCTCTAATACAAGAGTGAGTGAACTGTCTAATTAAAGAGACTAACTGGCTCCAAACACGGCATTTAAGGTGGTAAGTTCAGAGGTTCATTGTCGATCACTAAACAACAGCGATCATGGGGGGGGGCGTACACAACGCGAAGCCTGATGGCAGATCGCAGCCAGGAAGTCCTCCAACCAGATGGAAAAATCTCCTTAGCTAACAGGGCTTTGAAAAGAGCATATATACTTATTCGATTGAGAGTGAATGCATGTTCAACACTTGACGATGGAAAAGAAGAACTTGGATTAGATTGGCTTGAAGAGGAGATGTCTTAGTGTAAAGTCTGATGAATTTCAAAATGCCTATGTAGAAGAGGCAATATGTCACACGACTAACACATTGTTCATGCTCAAAGTCAACATTGAGTGTATTCAATGATAGAGGCTTTAGTTGATATCCAAAACTTCGGTTGTTCAACAAAGTCGTTATGGCATTACTTTTCATGGCAATGACTGTTGCGGCCGAAGGGTTGATTTTAGCAGGCCTCATTTTTAAATCTATCAGCAGCAAATTGGGCACTAGTCTCTGAGGATAAATTACTTTGGTCAAACTGATCGGTGACAACTCATTTTTACTGTGTTCAGACACCGTGTAAGTATGGAAGAAGAAAAGCAGCCAAATGGTTCTGGCCTACGTGCGGACGCAATGCTTTTCGTCGAAGTACACCAACATCACAAGACAAGGTAATAATGTAACATAGCGATTGCTTACGACGAGCATCGCCTGGACAGGTCATGCACGATATGCGGCAGTTGTCCTTCATCCATTTGCTGTTCGTTTCGCACTCGCCGATGAACTTCCAAAAAGAGCAGTACTGGTGTTGGTCGCAACATCCGTCTGTGCGGCACTTGAACTTGTGAGTGATCACCTGCTTGGTTTCTATGAGGATGC